CAGGAACTGTGAAGAAGTGCAAAAAGACTTCTGCACAGGTCTAGTGAGTGAGCATAGCTATAAAACTGTCTATAATAAGAGCTGCATGTTCCTACTTACAAGAACATATAGGCTAAGGCTTGAAAAATTCTGCTTATGGGCAGGTAATATGCATTTCTATCCTTGGATTAGGATCCTTGGCATTAAAAAGCTGAAAAGTCAGGTCTTAACCCTCACTGTTGCTTTTCAGCTGTTGAAATAAAGAAACATAAACCATTAAAGCAACTGTTTCCCTTAGCACTTAGTGTGGCTCAACAGAAGGGTAACTGCAAAACAAAATGATATTGAGGAGATAGCATCCACAGTACATGTTTCAGAGGAAGGCGGTACTTTGAGCCATCTCTGGCTTGTTTCAATGAAAAAATGCTCATTAGTGGTGAAAGCACATCTCTTGGGTTAATTTCATTTCCAAAAGATTATTTTTGTGCATTCTGAGATGACTTTGTGGTGTGAGCTGAAGTGGGGACCATCAGATCCATTTCCAAAGCAAACTCCTGATCCAAGGTGAAGTGCTAACAACAGAAACATTCAGTTTGTAGGGGGAACTCAGAAGTCTCTAGTCCAACCTCCTGTTTAAAATAGGATCCACTCTGAATTCAGATCGGATTTCTTAGGACTTTGCCCAGTCATATTTTGAAAACCTCTAAGAACAAAGATTGCCCAACTTCTTGGGTGACCTGTTCCAGTATTTAGTCACCCTTATAGTGCAGATTTTTTTTCCTTGTATCCAGTCAAACCTCCTCAATTCAATTTATGCTCGTTGTCTCTCTCCTGCTCTGTATTGCTGGGAAGAGCCTGGCCCCATCTTCTCAGTGAGCACCTTGCAGGTACTGTGAGGCTGCTGCTAGAGCCCTGCCCCAAAGCCCTCTCTTCTCCAGTTTGAACAAACCCTCAGCCTCTACTCACAGGGCAAGTGCTCCAGTCTCTGATCAACTTGGTGGCCCTCTGCCTTGTCCTGAGACAGCCTTGTCCATCTCTGTCCTCCCTGATGCTACGTGGACTGTTCTCCTGCTGCAGCTCCTTCCCCTGGTGACTGTGCCAGGGTGGCAGTGCTCGTCCTCTGCAGCTCTGTCTTAGTGGAGGCCTCTGGTTTCCCAGGGCCCCTTCCCCAGCAGTTGCAGGAGGGAGCACTGCAGCACGTCCCTGCTAACTTCAAAAGCCTCTGCTTGCTGCACCCTGTATTTGATGAAAATGGTTGCTACAGATGTTTAAAGAAGTGCCAACTGGATGACTTTAAACGCTTGTAAATGAATGTGATGCTTGAAACTGCTTTTGTGAAGGCGCAACGTGGGTGGACCAGCTTACTGAGTGACCTGTGCTCAGAGCAGGGCGCAGCTACCTTAGCTGACAGTTACCTGTTTTGATAGATAGCAGATTTGTTTGCAGATTTAGGTGTGCGATATGCACCATTATCTCAGGATATCTCTTTGAAGAATGAATTAGTATAATGACGTTATTTCTTAATTATGTCATAAATTACTTAATTCTTGCCCTAAGCAGTCTGTAGTCTATACTAAAACACACACACAAGGAGTCCCAATGAAATTTCAGGGGATGGTGCTGCCTCAGAGAGTTCTCTTTTTTGTTAGTAGTTGATTATTTTTGAGGCTATTAGTTCTTATACTAGATCCGCACCAGTGAATCCCCTGGAGAGAGTCTGACTGGATACTGGGATGCACAGCACACTGTGGGTAGCAAGGGCACTCAAAATACTTTGAGCAGCAAAGTAAAAAGTACGGAAATGAACACAAGGAAAGTTGCAAGGTAATATTTGCAAGCTGAGTGAAGGATCACAGGAGGATGTGCTTAAAGAAGAGAAAAACCCCGCAAAGATAAATGGAGGCGATCTCTATGCAGCTGTAAGGCAAAGGGAAGGAGGCAGTAACAAAATGACAGCACTGTTCACGCACTTTATGAGTCCAGACTTGCGTTTTGCTTCTAGCATTATGTGCACTTAATCCCACTAGTGAGAGTTGCCATCTAACTAAAACATGTATGTTTTTTGGCAAAGAATGCAATTTTCAAGCTATATCTTAAATCTCTGTGCAAGAAATGTAATTCTAACATCTTTTAAAATTGCACATTTCTCAGTAGCGCTGCTGTACTGCTTTTAGTAATAACTTGTAAGTTATATAAGATTCTCACTGAACTGCTATTCAGGAGAACATAAGCATTTAAAAGAAGAATGATTAGATATGGCAGTTTATGAAGAGGTAAATAACAGACTATTTGGTATGTAGCTTCTCATTTTCCACAGATGTTTTCTGATGCTTTCTGTAGAAAGTATAATTGTATGTAATAAGTAATCCTCCATAAAATGAGGCTAAAAGCTGTATCACACTGGCTTTGGTCAATTCTCTTTGAGTTTTGCCATTGTAAGAAATATTTTTATTTAAATTTACCTAATATTTTCTTCAGTCATCTGTTCTTTATTGCAATACATATCTGAAGCAATTGCTGCATCATTTAGACTTTTATTCAAGGTTTTACTGTCTTTTAGTTTTTATGTATCTTTTTTAATATAGTCTATTTTTTGTATTTCATATTTTCTTCCTTGTCCTTTTCTGAAGATTCAGTTTCTGTTACCTTGTGCCATATTTCCACAATAATTCATAGAAAATTATCCCTGTGCAAAAAAAAAAAAAAAGGAAAAAGGAACAGCTCCTTTTGCCTGCCCTTTGCCAGTCATACCTCAAAATGTGATTCTTTTCTTTGACCTGTGATATTCAGCTCTTCTTCTAAAATAACTTCACCATCAAAGCCTTCAAAGTTACAAGTTGATTTTGTAGCTTGTAGTTTTAGGCTGTTCAACATGAACAATGTGACAAGAATTTCAGAGAGGGCTGGAACTCAGTACTTATTGAAAATTAAGTTCCTGATGTCATTTTGGAAAGTCGCACACTTTTGAATCTTTTTTTCTCTAAGTTTTCTAATGAGGAACCCTTTCTTCATTTTCTTCCTCTCATTTCCTGTTCTTTGCATGTATTGATGCTACTTTACTGCCCTATAAACAAGAGTGTAATTTTTAAAATTTATTCATGTTATCATAAAAAAATTAACTTTCTTTTTAGTCAGCTCTGGGTAGTTGGTACTTGATAAGTGCAGAAAACATTCGTTTAGCTGCACGTGTAACATGCATGTCAGCAAGTTCACTTCTGAAATTGTTAACAGTCTATTCATAAGATCTTAGATACAGTCTACCATGCTGTCCACTTTGTTCTTCTAGTAAGGCCTTTAGATATGTTTACTTGCATGCAACTAGTTCCTGTATGTGATCAGTTGACAGAACTCAAATTTGTTACTTTACGTGTCACTTTATCTTGTTTTTTTTTTTCTGGGCCTTACGTTCATTATATTTTGAGGATTTTAACTGCAGGGGAATACTTCAATCAGTGCAATCTGTTTAGACAGAAACACCAATCTAACACAGATTACTTAATGTATAAGCATATTTTGTTATTTCACAGGTAGGGTTACATTGACATTTTCCCCGTATTTGATTTGTCCCTTCATCCTCATGAAATATCTTTCACTTATTGGCTTGCAAAAGAGAGTCAGCAAAAATACTGTTGTTCAAAAGACAAATAGCTTTTGCATTCTGCATATTAAAAAAAATAGTAAAAAAAAAAAAACCAAAGAAACAAAACTGTTAGAATTTCATGGGCAATAATATTTAGACTATTATAAACAGGGAAGCTGTTGGGTAGAGCCTGAAGGCCACTTTCTATTCTGTTGCAGCATGTAAATCTGTGCGAACATTATTGCAGCCACTGGAAGCTGGTCTGGATTTTCAGCTCCATAGCCTAAAATCAAAATCTACTCTTCTGAGTTCATATCCTAATATTTTAACAAAAAAGTAAAATATACAGAGAAAAGTAACTTGAACAAGCTTTAGGTGAAACCAAGTTACCAGGAAAATATAAAATAACTCTGATAAAATATAAAAATAAAGTATAACTCTAATATATTATTTAAATATAATATATATGCAATAGATAACTATATAACATTATATATAGATAGATATATAAAATA